ATATAAAACTTTCTTGCCCTTCTCCAAAGTTAAAAATTAGCCCCTCTCTTAAGAGGTAAAAGGAACAACTTTTAAGGGCCAATACAGGTCCTCACCTTACAAACATTCATTTAGCAGCCATTCAAAGTTACAACAGCGTTGAAAAAAGTGACTTACACCTGGTCCTCATTCTTACGACCATCGCAACATCCACACAGTGATGAAAATTCATTGCCTTGGCAACTGTCATGTATTTCCAATGCTTGTAGCATCTCAGGGGTCATGTGATTGCCATTTGTGACCTTCCCAGCTGGCTTCTGACAAGCAAAGTCAACGGGGGGAACTGGATTTGCTTAATGGCTGAATGATTCATTTAATAACTGCGGCCGTTCACTTAACAAGTGTGGCAAAAAAGGTCATTAAAGTAAGGCGCAACTCACTTATAGTCATTTAAGAAGGAAGACTGCATATATTCTTTTTTAGCTAGTTGACCAGATATTGCTTTATATAGCAGAGGGATGTGGTTCAATTTTTCCCCTCCGGGGATGATTTTCTTTCTTTGTTTCTTTTCCCTCATTCTTTTTTCAAAATTTATGTTTTACTGTGTTCCTGCACAAGGCAGATAAAGTACCATCAGGAAAGCTTGCAGTGTTATGGTGTAGCAAAGAGCCACAGGGTATCTATTCTGGAAATGATCCCACATTTCATTCACTTGTCCAATGTGCCTTTGAAATACTCCCCTCTGCATTGGAAATACAGAGCAGATGCAAGGACTTTAGCCAGTGTTCAGAAGCATCAAAGGCTGAAGGTGAAAGATAATTATGGGATGTGTCTTCAGCTGAATTATGCAGAATACTAATGCCTTGATGCATTAATCCATTCCACTGATGTTAGCCAAGCCATTTAACTACCGTGAAAATAATGCCCAATTAAATTATTGTAAAAAAAAAAAAAAAAAAAGCTCAATTAAACTCCAGGAATTGTCAGTTACTTTCAACCGAAGCTGGGGGAAAATGTGTGTTTGTGTTTGTGGAGGTGTGGTAGAGTAAGACAGAAAGGATGCAGCAAAGCAGATGTCTCAAGACATCAATCATACTTTGACTAAATAATCTTATTGCATTGATTGTTGTATTCACAGGCAAGGCCTACTCAATGTTTGGACTAGGGTGCACAAGTGGACTTTAGAGAATGTGTTGCAGGCTGATGGGGCTTCTGCCCATTCATAAAGCAGAAGTCATAACTGGTGAGCCAATCTTATATCACCCATTTACCAGAAGGCAAATGGGAGAGGATAATTTTATTACCGTGATTCATTTCACCTTTCTCTTCTTTTGAAGCAGCTGGAGACATCATCCTCTGAATTGCAGCTGGCAGCTATTTTGTTTTCTAGGAATATCTGTGGGATCCTTAGGAATTGTGCTGGACTTAGAAATACAGATAAAATGGGGAACTGGAATTTTGTTTTTCAGCACAACTAATTTTCATTTCCATACTATTCACATCCAGATTGAAATCATTTTTAAGGGAGATGGAATAAGGAATGGGTACATTGATAACTATGGCATCAAATTATAAATCCAGTCTTCTGTGGCCACTGAGACAGGAAGATATTTTTTTTCCAGATTTCTTTCTCATTTATTTGTAACGTTTTATTAGATTATAGAGTAAAATACAAAATACAAAGCAAATAGTAGGACACAGTGGGGAGGGAAAGGGGAAAGAAAAATGAGGGGGAGAAGGGAAAAAGAAAAAACAATGACTTCTGACTTCCTCTGTTGCAGTAGAATAAAGCATTAACATCGAACCTCAACTTTTTACTTTTCCATAATAGTATAAATTAGCCATTTCTATAAACACAAATCAATCTAAGTTTCATTTTTTTCCACCTCAAGCGCAAAATCCAGAAGCCGTTTCCATGTAGAAACAATAGTATTTATATTCTTTACTTTAATCAAAACAGTCAATTTAGCCATCTCTGCCAACTCCATCAGCTTCTGTAGCCATTCGTCCATAGTGGTAATCGAAATGTCCTTCCATATTGGCATATTGACGGAAAAATTAAGATTGGAAGAAATGTGTCATCATGTACAACTAACAAAAGATCAGTGCTTCTATTGTTTTCATTGTTATTGTTTCATTATTGGTACCATTATGGTTAGAAACAGATTCTATGAAAGTTCATCCACTGCCTTCCACATACTGTTCCATCTTTCTTTACAATCAGTTTTTCTCATTTCAGCCATATGATTAGCTACTAAAAGGTACAGGTTTCCCTGTCAATCGTGTCTGACTCTAGGGCATCTCCGTTTCTTAGCCGAGGGAGCCAGTTTTGTCTGAAGACAATTTCCATGGTCATGTAGCCAGCATGGCTGTATGCTAAAGGTACACAGAATGCTGTTACATTCCCACCAAAATGGCACCTATTTATCTGCTTGCATTTGCATGTTTTTGAACTGTTGGGGAAAGTAAAGGAACTCACCATATTGCATGGAGCTTGGGTCTTGAACCCGGCCTGTCAGCTCTCTGGCTAACAAGCTCAATGTCTTTAACCAATGAGCCATCGTGCCCTGATTAGCTACTATTTCAAAGCAAATGGACTTCTGAAATTCTTGCTGACTTACTGAGAATCAGTAGGTTCAAGATGTCTTCTTCCCACCTCTGCATTACATCAAACATTGCCATTCCACGTAGCCAATTTTCATTGCATAAAAAAGTAACAATCCTTTATATAAATGAAACCCAATGTTGGTAGGCACTAATAATTTATCAGAATGAGACAGAAAATAATCAACTAGCTCCAAAACTCATTTACTACTCCAAATTCCTAGCTGCTAAGCACAGTGGAATGCTCTAAATAACAAGGAGAGCATAATTTATTGCAATTACTCACAGCAGATATTTTAATTATAATTTACAATTATGTAAGCATATATAATCATTTTATACCAGCATTAAGCAATTAGCCTTGCCTAGCCCCACCAAGGTTTTAGCCAGTGATTTTTTTTAACATTTCCATTTAATTCTTTCTATTAAGGAGATCTACTTGGAGGACAACAGAACCCACCAGTTATTTTGCTTTATTTTAAATAGTCTTCAACATTGTACTATTGGTATTATTCACTGACCATAATTCCATGAGAATACAGTAATTAAGCCTCAGACCACATGATCTCCATCTAGATAAAAATGTGAGACAAAAGGAGAAGCAGAAAGAAAGGAGGACACATATGTTTTCAATGTCCATGTAATAGCCACAATCTGACTCCCTGATTTAATAGAATAACAGAGGTGGAAGATACTTTGGAGATTTTCTAGTCCAACCCCCTGCTCAAGCAGGAAACTCCTACACCATTTCAGACAAATCCAATCTCTTCTTAAAAACATCCAGTGTTGAAGCACCAACAACTTCTGGAGGCAAGCCATTCCATTGATTAATTGTTCTAACTGTCAGGAAATTTCTCCTCAGTTCTAGGTTGTTTCTCCCCTTGATTAGTTTCCATCCATTCCTTCAGATACTTTGGAGAATATATTGACCCCCCTTTTCTTTGTAGCAGTCCCTTAGATATTGGAAGGACAGCATTAGGGAGAAAATAAAAGTTATACTCCAAGGCATTTTTCTTGTTTGCCTTAGGATTGTTTTCCAATATAAGAGCCTAGCAATAATAGAGATGGAGAATAGAGACCAGGGAACTGGTTTGTGGATTCATAGAATCAGTAGAAATGATAGGATCTATTTAGGCCAGGGTTTTTCAACCAGTGGTACGGGTACCACCTGTGGTACATTGGCACCTGGCAGGTGGTACGCGACCATCCTAGAAAAGTGGTAGCAGGGGAGGGGAATGAGCTGAACTGGTGGCAGCACCGCACAAGCCTGAGTAAGAGATGTCTGGAGCTGCAGGGCTGTCAGGGCTCAGCGGAAGCGCCAGGATCAACATTTCTTTGGGACTATCAGGGCTCAGTGGAAGCACCAGGATCAGCACTAGGCTCCAGCTGAGCCCAGAAGAAGCGCCGATCAGCTGGAATGTTGCAGCATCTCCAGGGATTTGTGATTCACATTCAGATGCTTGGCACCTGATTCATATTTATGACGGTCACAGTGTCCCAGGGTCATGTGAAGTGACCAAAACCTGCTGCAACTACCCAGCAGATGGGTGGAATAAAAACCAAACACCCCCCACCCCACCCCCGCTGCCAATCCCCAAAAGAAATGCTCACAACAATGAAAACCTCGAATAGGAAGAAGAGCGCTGCTGGGTGGGCAAGCAGGTGTCTTGCAAGGCTGTGGCTTGGGGGCACTTTTTTCAGTGCCATTGTAACTTCGAACAGTCATTAAGCGAACTGTTGTAAGTCGAGGACTATCTGTACTTTATCACTTTTTTCCTCTTTTTTGGGGGTCATCAAGTTTTTGACACCTTGCTAGGCGACTGGTGGTACTCGGATGTTGCCATATCCTAAAAGTGGTACAATGGGTGAAAAGGTTGAAAAGCCCTGATTTAGGCCATCAAATTTGACTCTTCAGTGCAGTACATAGCCTCAAAAGATGGCTGTCTAACCTACATTTCAATACATCCTATGAAGAAAGTCTACCACTTGGAGGTTGTACCAAATAAAGCACCACTGCAGAATTAGATTTTCCTTCTTTTTATTATTATTATTATAATTTAATTTATATACCGCCCTTCTCCCACAGGACTCAGGGCGGTGCACAGCGTATTAAAAACAGTACAAATACAAAACATAAAAATACAAACCCCTATAAAACCAGATTAAAAAACCGAATATTAGAAGCTGTGTCTCTATTTAAAATTATTTTTAGAATCACCCTAAATAAAATCCTCCCTAGGTCAGGCCCGCTTGCTGGAAAAGCCATGTCTTGAGGGCACGGCGGAAGGTAAGGAGATCCGGAATCGTCCGGATCTCGGGGGGTAGTTCGTTCCAGAGGGTGGGGGCACCCACAGAGAAGGCCCTCCCCCTGGGGGTCGCCAGCCGACATTGTTTGGCCGACGGCACCCTGA